GGGCTCCCGCCTCTGTCCCGTTCCCGGCAGGAATGCTGGTCCGGTTCTTCTACGTGTCCAGGCAGTGCACGGAGTACTGCCCGGCCATCCGGCCGTTTGACGTGCTGCCCTACAAGTCTTACGTCCTCCTGAAGCCCATGCCCTTCCTCTACGCCTCGTGCTGCCGGACGCCGCTGTGCAACACGGACTCGCCGACCATCAACGACACCGAGTGGCAGTACTTCCGAGAGGCGGGGGGCGCCGGCGGCCTTGCCAGCTCCTGGGAAGCCCCTCCCGTGGGGTGGGCTGTGGCATTAAACTTGTTTCCCTGGATGGATGCTGGTCTGGTGGTCTGACTTCCGAGGGGCTGGGAACGAAGGTAGGGGGCCCGCGCTGCCGATGGCAGTGGTGTTTACAAAGGGGGAGCCAGCTTGTGGGGGCGGTGATGACTAGGGACACACATCACCGCCACTCAGGATGCAATATGGGAAGTAGGAAGGGAATAGGAGACATTCTGCTCATTCCTTTTTACTTTTTAAAAATGTGTTTTTATTCATTTTTTAGAGAGAGGAAGGGAGAAGGGAGAGGCTGACACATGGTTGTGAGTAAACAGTGACCGGCTGCCGCCTGCACGCCCCGCACTGTTGTCTCTGAAGTGGAGCCTTGTGGCCGGCAGCCTCTTTCCGCTCCTCACCTGCCAGCGCTGCAGGAAGGGGGGCTGCAGTACCACCGTGAGGAGTAGCGTTCGGAGGCTCTGGACTTTGGGGTTCACAGGGTCAGAGCAGGAAGCTGAGTGCGGGGGAAGGACCCCTGGCGGGGGTAGGGCGTCAGCCTGGGACCCTGTCCTGATGAGGGAGACGCTGCAGCTGCTGGTCCTTAGCTCGTCCTCCCAGATCCCAGGAGTCAGGAGAGCACGGACTCTACTGCACGAACTTGGGCTTCACCCCCAATGTCCCCAGTGTGGGGACACCCCATTCTCCCCCGTGCTCTGTCCTGCCTCCGGACCTGGGGCCCGGCGGAGAGCACTGGGCCCACATCGTTCACACGTGCGTTAACGTGCACCCATGCCAAGAGGGCCAAAGAGTCAGGCTCCAGTTCTGCAGGGGTCAGTGCTTCTCCCTGAGGCGGGTGGACGCGGGGTGGGGTGGGCAGCCTGGGAACCCTCCAGAAAGAGTCTCCGTGGCCCCAGAAGGCGGCAGGGAGGGCAGGCAGAGGGGTGTCCTGTGCCATCCCGAGGCGCACGGAGGAGGCGGCTCTGTCCCATCTGAACCTGCACCCAGACGCCTCAGCCTCGGGGACAGGAGGGCGGCCCCTGTGGGTGGCCGGCAGCCCCAGCGGGAGCGCATTGGTGGCCTCTGTTAGGCCCCGTGTGCTCACCCTGCCCCACACCTACTGCTCACCCGCTCAGCTTGGGGAGCAGCCCGGGCT